CTGATATTTTAGTTATTAGCCTTGTTCTCTTTGAAACGATTCTTGCTTCTCTTTCTTTTTGTTACCTTCCTCTTAAAAATTTATAATCCAGTGGAGTGGCTTTTTGGGATTACCAAGGGACTCATGCGTTCATTTGTTCACAACTTCTAGACCCATCAACCCATTGTGCGCTGAGAACTGTGTGAGACAATGAAGACACACAGGCATCCATGAGGGTGCCATCTCGTGCACACAGAGAAGTGTGGCTATGCCGTGGCAAAGTCCTGTGGGAAGGGAGCACTGGAATGCTGATTCTCTCTACGCAATTGAAAGTGGGTGGATCGGTAGAAGCTATGCAGGTGCAGATACCAGGAAACCTATTGAAACTGATTGAAACAATAATGAAATTTATTGTCTCACAAAACACAATGTCCAAGTTGGTAGGCAAATTTACAGTATGGCAAGGTTTCCATTTCCATTTTTCTGCTTTGCTCTTAGCTCTGCCCTCTTTTGTGGGCTGAATTTAACCTCAGCTTCCCTACTGGTTGCAAGATGATGACCAGCAGCAGCATCTTGGGCAATGAGCTTTCTTGTTTGTTTTTAACAGGAGAGAGAGAAAAGTCTGCTCAAACTGTGGAAAAGATTTCTTCCCTTTGGGCAGTTCAGGTCATGCACCCACTCCAGGGACAATAGCATTCACATGGGACGTTACAGGGGAAAAGGATTATCATCATAGGCTCGGGTTTAGAAAGACCCTTTCCCTGAAATACATTTCACTTAAATCATATGCTTACTATAGAAAGTGATACAAAGACAAGATAAGTGAATAGACGCTGGTTAGGTAAGCGACAATATACATAGCAGTGGGGCTTAGAGGTGGAGTGACACTTGAGCTGGGTGTTGATGGATGAATTAGCGGGACAGAGAAGGGTCGACAGTACATTTCCAGCAAAGGAAACAGCTTGTGCCTTTGCTCAAGGACCTACCACACCGGATCCCTGGACTCTTGGTTCTGTGGGATCAAAGTGGAAGGAGGCAACGGGGCTTGAAAGAGGTGGGGCGTCTAGGAAGGGACATGCATCCTTGTACGGCATTTGTTTTCAGTGTGCAGGCAATGGACAACTGGTAGCTTTTATTTTACAACAGGAAATGTGGGGTTGAATTTCTTTCATGATGATTAACTGACAAGCTGGAGTGTGGAGGATGGAGGGCTAGCACCAAGAAGAGGGCTGCACAGTTTCAGGTGAAAGATATTAAATTCCTGGTTAAACCCAGCTGGATGTGGATGCAGAGCTGAGCACATATAAGGGGCCTCTATGAGGTCGCATTTCCTACCGAAGTCCTATCGGAATCCACAAATCCCAGGAGTGAATCGACTGCGACAACTGAGTGAGAGAGAAGTAGAGGGAGGCTGGCATGGGACATGTCTGACCCCTCAGCCAGAGGACTGGGGCCTCAGGTGGAAGGAGGGAGAGAATGGGGTCTCATTCAGCTTACTTTCTGGGCTTGTCTGGTCTGAAGTGTTTGTCCTTTGCACGGAGGCTTCTGAGTGAATAAACTGAGACTTGTGATTTCAGGACGAGAAGCAGAGAGCCTCAGCACCCACTCAGTGGAGCATGGAGTTCCTCTCTCTGGTTCATGGTTATCTGTTTCTTCTCTTCCCCTTCACTCACACACTGGTAGATTCCTGATCTTGTTACCTGGGCTGTTTCTGCAATCACTGAGGCTGATGGACCCACTGCTCAGGATGGCTCTGGGACTTCAGGATCAGGCCTATTAGAACACTTATCAGGCAAAATCTGCTGCCAGTGGGTAACAGAGGAGAAGCCCCTCATCCACTCCTAGCCCCCATCTAGAGATGCAAGGACTGGGGTGTGTCTTCCTTGGTGGTCTTTTATTTTTGAATTCAAAATCTTCTGGAAATTATTTTTTCCCATCCCACTGAATTACTAAAGGACTCCTTCAACTCTAGGAAATTTACCTTGATGGCAAGGAATTTACTCACTGGGGTGGGTGGGAATAGTGGGTGGCAGCCGTGTCCTGTGGCATGACATCAGGAGAGGTCACTCTCCTTCATTAATTTCCCCTGTCTAATGGATCGGTCTTGTCAGCACTATTTTGGTGACACCTACTCTAAAAGCCCTATCTTAAGCATTATACAATGTATCTATCAATTTATACCCCCTTAATATTTTTAAATTAAAAAAAGCAACTCCAAAGAGTTGTCCAAACTATTTCTACTTCCTTATCTCCCATTCTCTTCTTGAGCCACTGCAATCAGGTTTTCATCTCCACCATTGTATGGGAGTTGTCTTTATCAAGGTATCTGGGCCAGCTGTGGTGGCTCATGCCTGTAATCCCAGCAATTTGAGAGGCCAAAGTTGGAGGATCACTTAAGGCCAAGAGTTTAAGATCAGCCTGAGCAACATAGTGAGACCCTATCTCTCTCTACAAAAAAATTAGCCAGGCATGGTGGCACTTGGCTATAGTCCCAGCCACCCAAGAAGCTGAGGCAGGAGGATCACTTGAGCCCAGGAATTTGAGGTTGCTGTGAGCTATGATGATGCCACTGCTCTCCAGCCCCCATCCTGGGTGACAGAGTAAGATCCTGTTTCCAAAAAAACCAGACATCTGTGATTTCAGTCTGGATAAGGCCAACATTCAATTCTCAATCCCCTTTGCTTAGTCTCTCATTGCATTTGACACAATTGGTCATTTTTCCTTTTTGAAAGTCTTTTTTTCATTTAGCTTTCGGTTGAACACACTGTATGGTCATCTACCTGCATAACTGGCTACTTCTTGAACTCCTTGGCTATGTCCTTTTCCTTTCAATGGCCTCTAAAATTTGGAGTATCCCAGGTCTCAGCCTTTGGACCTCTTTTCTTCCCACCTCCTGATAAGCTCATCTCCTTCCATGACTGTAAATCCCACTCATACGCCAAGGACCCACAAAGTGCTCCTGCATCCCCGAGCATCAAGCAGTGTACCCAGCCACCCAGAAGATGCCTCTTGTGCATGTCAGCTAGGCGACTTGTGATGTTGTCTGTCATCTACTTTATAACACTGTGATGTAGAGTGTGCTCCAAAGGTGTGTTAGTTACTTCAAGCTACAGACAGTTGTTCTAATCAGGAACTTGCCCCACAGCTGGCTTCATTGCAGAAAGGCCGTCCTCCAGAGGCAGCTACTACACGCACTTCAGCTATCTTTAACTCTGATCAACACCAGACACTTTGCTAATTAGCATGCTGAAGTCAAGATTGGGTTTTCATTTATGAAATTAGTGGCTTGTTAATCAGCATAATGGGTGTTAGAAATGGGCTTTTATAGGTTGAATTAGAGGTAATCAAGATATAGGAATTGGCTAAAATGTTTTAGAGATATTCCCTACCCGCATAAAAACAGAATATAAGAATCCAGCAGCAAATAGGCTGGACTCTTAGGGATAGTACTTGAAGCTTTATTCTTAAGCAGTCCTCTTTCCAGCCATTGTGGCAAAGCGTTTTGGATGTCTGACTCTGCCTTGGAATATTATTTTCTGCTGAGTGAACTCATTCAAGGCAGTGGTTGACGCCCCTGGAAGGACTGTGAGTTGGGACCAAATCAAGCTTACAGAGCAGGTGTATAAATTGCTCTGTGCCTACTTGTTAATGACATTATGTCTGCATATGTGGTAAAAGCAGATCTGAGACTTGCTTTCATTATAACTTGGTAATGAGATTATAGGGACAGCGACTAATTCACCAATTTCTACTCTTTCCATGGCTACAGTTGTCTACCACAATGAACCTAAGAGTTGTGCATTATCAAAGTGGCTTATGTTCGTTTCAATACACTTCAAATTAACATGGCCCACACAGAGCTCCTTTTTCACCTCCACCCCTCCCTAGCCCCAGGATCCCTCTTCACAGCAAAGGGCGCCAGCTCTCACGCGCTTGCTCAGGCCTAAATGCAGCACCTTGCCCGCAACTCCAACCCGCCTCACACCACAGCCTAGCCACCGACAGGCCGTCTCAGTCCTGCCTTCAAAGCGCAGCTGCCGTCTCCACTGGTCGCCCTCGTCTCCACAGCAGCCCCCTGACTGTCTCCCGCTTTCCAACTGCCTCTGGCTGGTTCCGCAGAGCTGCCAGAGCCATCTGCCAAAGACGTCAGTGAGATCACGTTGCTCTCCTGCTCTAACCCCTACAAAGCGTCCGATCACTCTCAGAATACAGTTCCAGCAGCTTACCCATGTTCTTTAAGACTCCTTGTGATTGAGTCCTGACCCCCCATCTCCAACCTCGGCTTCTCCGACTTTTGTCTCACTTTGCTTTTTAAATCTTCAATCTTCTCTCTGTTCCTTCAACTTCTCCAATCCTTCCCTGCCTCAGGGCCTTTCCACCTGCTGCTCCTACCTCAAACATGCTCTCTCCCCTCATCTCTGTTCATGTGCACCTCTTTAGAGAGGACATCCTTACCCACCACCCAGTCTACAGTGGCCTCATTTCAGTATTCACTATCTTCTTGCCTGCTAAATTTTCTTCCTAACATACATCTTGTGGGAGGACATGATATTATATCTTTATTTGTTAAAGACATTCTGGTCTGTTTTCCCCATGAGATAAAAAGCTCCGTGAGGGCAGAGACATGATATCTTGTTAACTGTGACATCTCTAGGAAGGACAACAGTGTTGGGCATATAGTAAAGAAATATTCCTTAAATAAATGTGGAATGAATGAATGGTTCCAATATTCCAAAATATGTTTCTGTTTCCCCCATGGTGTATGTCCAAGCACATTGCAATTAGAGCGGCAGTGGGGGAGTGAGGTGTCTCCGTGCACTGTGCTCATATTGACCCATTTACTCTCGTAACTTTCCCTCCTGGCATGCCTCTGGCTTGCAGGGAGTGTCGAGGACGCAACTGTGAGTGAGCCAGACAAATTACCTGCCCTCATGGAATTTACAGTCCAGTAGTCCAATTATGATGAGATAATTCACCCAATTATGATGAGAGTAATAAGGGAAAACAATAGAAGACAAAAATAGAAAATGGCAGGGGGACATCAGTTGACAGAATGTGGTTAAGGCAGCATCTCTGAAGACATGGCCTTATGCTGAGGCCTGAAGGATGAGAATGAGCAGCAATGCGGTAGAGTAGACAGCAAGAACAAAGGCCCTGAGGCAGGAAAGAACTTGGCTGATCCCTACGGCTGAAGGCTTACATGGCTACAGAGTTGTGAGTGAAAGTGGGGACCATGTCTGACATTGAAAAGAAAGGCCAGGACCAGGCAGCCAATGTTTACGCAAGGTGGGTATTGTAATTTTTTCAATTGCAAAACAATTGAAGTATTTTGGGCAATAGTAAAATGATCATACTTTAAAAGTTGCCCTGGAGGCTGGGTGGAAAATTGATTGGGTGTGAGGCCAGAGTGAGAACAGAGAGGTCAGTTAGAAGACAGTTGGGATGCTCAAGCTAGTAGTGGTGGGAGTTTGGACCAGGGTAGTGGCAAATGAAAGGGAAAGATGTAGACAGAGTATAGCTGTACTTCAGTGCCAGGAGGAGTAGGGAAATGGCACGGGGCTACCCCGGGATAGATACATGGCAGACTGTCATAAGTATGTGGCTATATTGCATCACTGGGGAAACAGGAGAAGTAAGAATGGTTCCCAGACTTCTGGCTTTACCACCGTGAGAAGAGGCATCGTTGCTTTCTGTGGTGGGGAGACTAAGGAGAGACACGGCACTGAGAGGAGCAATTACTTCTGATTTAAATATTTTCATTGTGAGATGGAGTCAGCACATCCTGCTAAGCAAGCAGTTGAATACACCAAGTCAAGTAGAGGAGAGTTCTGGGCTAGATGTAGCAATGTGGGATCCATTAGGACATAGGAGGTGCTTAGAGCTGCTGGGAAGCTAGAATGTTCCCCAGGAAAGACTGGAGAAGAAAAGATGTTCCAGAATGAGTCCTCGGGGAAGTCTAACAGTCTTTTTCTAAATTTCAGCATATTACAGGAGTACAAATGTTTAGGTTACATATATCGTGCTTGCCCCACCGGAGTCAGAGGTTCAAGTGTGTCCATCCCCCAGACGGTGCACACTGCGCCCATTAGGTGTGTATATACCCATCGCCTCCTCCCCCCACATGTCTGACACCCAGTGAATGTTACTACTATGTGTGCACATAAGTGTTGATCAGTTAATACCAATTGGCTGGTGAGTACATGTGGGGCTCGTTTTTCCATTCTTGTGAGACTTCACTTAGTAGAATGGGCTCCAGCTCTATCCAGGAAAATACAAGAGGTGCTAGATCACCATTGCTTTTTTGGGACTGAATAGTACTCCATGGTATACATATACCACATTTTATTAATCCACTCATGTACTGATGGGCACTTGGGTTGTTTCCACGTTTTTGCAATTGTGAATTGTGCTGCTATAAACATTCGAGTGCAGGTGTCTTTTTTACAGAATGTCTTTTTTTCCTTTGGGTAGATGCCCAGTAATGGGATTGAGGAGAGGCTTGGAAGGAAACTAAGAGAAGGTGAGATAGAAGGAAATCCGGGAGAGTGTGGTATCCTGAGGACAAAAGAGGGAAGTGTTTCTAGTAGGAAGTCTGTCAGTTAGGATGTGTGCTGTTGAAACACTCAGCAAGATGAGGAGGGAATAGTGCGGATTGCATTTGGCAACATAGAGGTTGTTAACTTTGACAAGAGCAGTTTCAGTTGAGTAATGGAGACAGAAGTCAGATGTCGTTACTTGAAGAGTAAATTGGAGGAGCGGAGAGTACAGAAAGTTTGTGTTTAGGAAGTTTGGCTGTGGAGAGGAGCAGAAAAATGTCGCAATACCTGGAGAAGTATGTGGGGTCAGGGAGAATTTACCAATTTTTTATAAAATGGGAGATTATAGAACTTGTTTGATACTAATGGGACTGTTTCAGGAGAGAGGGAGAGATTGTGCCGAAAAGAGAAGACATGTTGCCTTTAAAAGTCAACTGAGAATGGGATCCAAAGTAGAAACAAAGAGATTGATTGGCTTGTGGTAGGAGCAGAGTTTCTATTGTTTCAGACTCAGGGTGTAAAAAGTCCTCACTTTCCTGTGTGCTTGCTGAGGCCCCAGAGCAGAGACTGGCAGATGGGAGTGTCTCTGCACTGTGAAGCGAGCTACTGTGTCATCCAGGCCAGACCCAGAATGAGAGGTGTTGCCTCCGTGGCCTGCCAGCTAACTCCTGTTTTGTCTTCTCCGCCTGTCAGTTAACTCCAGGCACTGTAAGAAAAGGCTGAGTCCATGGCAGAAGCTGAGTGAGAGTCTTGGGAGATGTCAGTTTGCCCTTGCTCCCGACATGAGAAACAGGGTTTGCTTTCCTCCCACTCCAACCAGTGAGGAAGGGCTTGGTCTGCATCCCCCGGAGGCTGGGACCTTAGAGACTGCGGCCTACCTGACCACTCCTGAAAAAGTCTGCAGAGGCAAGGCCGTGGGGGCTGCCGGTGGCAGCACAGACAGGAGAGGTTCTCTGGGAATGGCCTGCCCTTCCGAAGTTACCAGATGGAAATGTTTGATTTTCTCCTCCCACAGGCACTATGTAAACCTCACAAAGGCAGATCGTGTTGGGGCTTCCCAATAGGACAGTCTGGAGACATGAGGAGCCGCAAGAGTGAAAGTCTGTGTTAATAGGCGAGGACGCAGGGGGTGGCCGGGGACCCATCGCAGTCCCTCTGGAGAGGACGTTTCCCACGCCAGGGAACAGCAGACAGAGCCTGCAGTTGGGAGACGTGTGAAGGACCAGAGTGACGGCACGGAGCCGCATTCCGGCTGCTGCCAGAGAGCCGGCCGCCAGTGCTGCGGCACAGACACCTGCAAAGGAAGGCGGTGGCCTTTTCTCTGACACTCTTCTCCTGAGCGCAGCCTAGAGGGGGCCAGCACAGGAGTGAGACAGTGGGAGAGCTGTGGAAGGAGAATAAAAGCAGAAGTGGACAGAGGGTGAGGAAGCCAATCTCATCCTACTTCCAGCCTCTGGGACCGAGTAGGCATCCAGCTCCCTCGTGGGGGACCAGGTGGGGGTCCAGCTCCCTCGTGGGGGACCAGGTGGGGGTCCAGCTCCCTCGTGGGGGACCGGGTGGGGGTAGAGCTCCCTCGTGGGGGACCGGGTGGGGGTAGAGCTCCCTCGTGGGGGACCGGGTGGGGGTAGAGCTCCCTCGTGGGGGACCGGGTGGGGGTAGAGCTCCCACGTGGGGGACCGGGTGGGGGTAGAGCTCCCACGTGGGGGACCGGGTGGGGGTAGAGCTCCCACGTGGGGGACCGGGTGGGTGTCCAGCTCCACGTGGGGCGGGGGGTAGGCTGGATGAAAGCTGAAGCTGTGTTATCACACTGCCTTTGACTCTGTCACCACTTTACAAGCTTTATGTTCCATTAAGTCCTGAGAGTGACAGGAGAAATAAAGACATACCCGAGAGTCATCCAGGGTGGGGAGGGAGTCTGAAGGAGCCAAGGTGAGGGAGAAGGAAGTTGCTTTCTGCCTGCCCTTGGCTGAGTCCAGCTTCTTCAGTAAACTGGTTATAGCTTACATTTGTTTCTATCCTAAAATTTTGTGATGTTTACATTGTTGCAGTGCAAATGAAACTTGTGTACGACAATTTACAATCACTGCCATATTTCCTGTTCTGTCATGTTGTGGACCAGGTTCACACATCTAAAAGCATCCAAAAGCCTAGCAGGTAGCAGAAATGAATGAAGCAGGTCAGAAGCAAGACAGTAGAGGAGGGTGAGGATGAAAGAACGCATGGCTTTCCAATGTCTTAGAAACCCTCTCTGGCTCACACGGCACCGATATGCAGACTCCCGACCCGGGCCAGGGCCAGCCCGCATTGCAGTAATGTGGCCATGGGGTTGGGACAGGGAACAAGGCAATGTGACATGTCCTCATCTCACATTCCTACATGCTAAGATGATGTTCTTTGCTAGGAAAGTGTAGAAATATTTTGAGATTTCCCAAATCTATAATTTATAATTTCTTGTCAGCATTCTAGTTACACATAAAAAAGCATCAACCTGTCATCTTCCCTGACAGAAGAATAGATGAGGAGAGAAACAGAAAGTGTGCTCACAGAACTTTTTCTATCCCATGCCAGATCCTGGTAATGAACACCAACACAACACAAACCATTTGCCTTACCAAGGAAACCACATTGTTGTGTTTTGTTTTGTTTTTTGAGACAGAGTCTCGCTGTCACCTGGGCTAGAGTGCCGTGGCTTCAGCCCAGCTCACAGCAACCTCAAACTCCTGGGCTCAAGCAATCCTCCTGACTCAGCCTCCCAAGTAGCTGGCACTACAGGTGTGTACCACTATGCCCATCTAATATTTTCTATTTTTATTTGAGATGGGGTCTCGCTCTTGCTTAGTATGGTCTCAAACTCCTGACCTCAAATGATCCTCCTGCCTTGGCCTCCTAAAGTGCTAGGAGTGCAGGTATGAGCCACCACGCCTGGCCAGAAACCACATTTTAAAAGACTTCTGTTTGATTCGTTAAATAGTGACTGATTTCCTACTATGTTCAAGAAAATATTAGAAGGTCAGCTTTGACCAGAAGAAACTGTACACTCTGGTGCGTAATCTTATAATTTGAAGCTATGCCTGAGTAGCAATATGCTAGCCTCAAGCAAAATATCCTGGCAACAAATAAGAGCTCCCTCAACCTAAAACAAAACATATAAGAGAATTTCATATAAGTGAATAGTCATGTGCTATAGAAAATGAAATATAATTGTATTTCATTAAATGTTTGCTTTGTAAAGATTTACTAAAAAGGAAGCTGGGATTCATTTCTTCATGTTATACTTGAAAATGCTCTAGAATCTTGAGTGTTGGAAGGGCCCTCCACCACTCCCTGACATGAAGCAGGGATCTTCGTTACTGCAGGGCCCCTTCCAGGTGGTTCATCCCACTTCCGCTTGGACGCTCATGACTATCATAACCAAGTTCCAGTGCTCTGAGTTGTTCCAGACCAAATGCAACTAGGCACTGGACTCTAGAAAGATCTTTGGTGCTGGTCAAAGGTTAATGGTCTGGTTATACAAGACACATGGATATGAGTCTGAGAGTTGGGCTATAATTGGGAAATAACCATGATTATTAATGATGTGTAAAAGAACAAGAGAGGCAGGCATAGGATTGGACAAGGACCTAACCAAATCTTGGAAGCAACAGTCTGCTCAGGCAGGGACGGGACCACTAGTAGAGGACCAGGGTGGTATTGGTTGTGAGATCTGACCATAAGAATAGGTATCAAAGCAAAGGAAAGAGTCTTCAATATGCGAAGCAGTCTGCCAAGGGGACTGTGAGATTCCATTAATGATGTGAAATATCTAATTTTTGCAGAATTTTCCTTAAAGGGAGTGACTTCCTCTTTTTAAAATACTTGCTTCTTTTGATTTTCATGGTGCCACTGTTTCCTGGTTTTTAAGCTTATCTCAGTAACCAACCCTTTTGCTGGCTCTTCCTCCTCTAACTGATCTCTAAATATGAAAAACTCCCAAGACTGTTCTGAGGTCTCTGTTCTATTTCCTTCTATCCTTGGTCACATAGGTCCTGTCGCCTCTATGTGTTGATGGCCCCCAACCTGTGTTGTTCCAGCCATGACCTCCTCCCTGAGCTCCAGGCTCCTGTCTAACTCCCTCCATGGCATATTTACTTGTGAGTCAAATTGGGATTTCCATATACATATCCAAAACATAACTCTTAACTGCCTCTGTTGTCTATAACCTGCTCCTCCTAATCTTTCCCCATCTTATGAAATGGCAGCATCATCCAATTGAACATTTAAGCCAAAAGCCTAAGAGTCATCCATCATTGCCCCTTTCCTCACTTTACCCCTTCAACATCCAATTCATCAGCAAGTCCTGCCATTCTGTTTATATAATGTTTCTGAAATCGAGCATTGCCATCCTGCTCCAAGCTACTGTCCTTTGCCCCCTGGAATTCTGCTATAGTCTGTACTCAATGACCAGAATGATCTTTTAGAAGTATAATTTAGAGAATCTGGTGCCAAAGCAAGCCCTGCCCATTCAAGGTCCACATAGGCAGTTTCCCGTCGTGCTGCAGTAGGGTCCAAAGAGGCCTTGCGTGAGCTTCCTCTGTCTGCCCATCCAAGGGCATCAGATGCCACTTGCTCACTCACCTTCCTTCAGCCACACTGGCTTGCCCTCTTGTCCATGGTAGCCTAGCCTCAATCCTGAGTTACAGTCTTTTCATTTGATCTTTGCCCTGCCCAGAAGGCTTTTCCTGCGGTTGGCTGCTCTGACCTCAAGCTCTCTTCTCCTTGGAAGGTCTGCCCAGCACCCAGCCTGAAGAGCTCTCCATTCCCTGGAGCTCTCCCCTGGGTCTTCGCTGTCTCTTTGTGCCACTCATTTCTTCACAGTACTTATCAGTCTAGAAAGTCATTTATCTTATTGATTATTTGTCTCTCCATTACTAGAATATGAACTCCTAAAGAGCAGGGACATTATCTATCTTGCTTCTCATTAGACCCAGGCACCAAGAACAGAGGCTACTAAACCTGGGTGTTTCATAATTATTTATGGAACAAAGCCAAGCTCTGTCTGTGTATAACTTCTACTCATTGATCTGCTGGAAATGTATTCAATAAGTCTATTGTTTCTTCTATGTGATGGCCCTTGCAAAATTTGGAGGAAGCCTTTATGATGTGTACAAATATCTGTGTGTGTGTGTGTCTCTGTGTATGTGTGTTTCTCCTGGCTAAATATCTGCAAGTATTTAAATTATTGTCATATGAAAGAATTTCCAGATACTTCACTATCCAGGTCATCCATTCCTGGAGAAACACCAAGAGAAGATTCTCCAAAGTTAATTCCAATGATGTCTAAAAATAAACTGAATGGCACCAAAAATAGGTAGTGGAAAAAAATGCATTCAGTCTGGGATTAACAGCCAACTCCTGTCCTTGTCTGAAATATTTTTCTGTAATGTGGAATTTAAGGCATAGAAAATCTTAAGAGATTTTCCTTACTCTTCTGTGTTATAGCCAATGGTGCCACACGCCACAGCCCCCAGCTATCAGCCTTAAACACATATTGTTGACTACCTTGCTTCCTGCGTCCTGGGGTCTCATCTGAGAGAGGGGAATAGGAGGCAGGATCTCTGCTTGTATTTCCAGCCCTAGCCTCTCCTCTGCACTATGGATGTCAGCATCCAGTTTCCTATTGGACACTCGCCCCAGTTTCCCACAGGTCCCTCAAATTCAACACCTATCCCCAATTGGACTCTCCTTCCCCTCTGCCACCCTTCTCTCCCCCCCCCCATGCCTATAAATGATACTACCATCTATCTAGTCATCCAAACCCCAGACCCTAGAGACATTTTAGACTTTTTCTTTCTCAATATTCACCTCCAATCAGTTTCCAGCTCGGCCCATTTTTTCTGTTTCCTTCACTTTATTTTCACAGCCCTACCTCAGGACTTCACAGCCTCCTACCTGTAGCCTCCTGGACTGGGCTGCCCGTTTTCCCACACTGCCTTGCTCCATGCAAGTCCATTCCACGCTGCAGTCATGGCGGCTTTCGGCACAGCTCCATTGTGACAGAGCCCAGCCCACCGAGCGTGGAGCCCGAAGCCTCCTTTAGCCTGGCCTGCTGCCTCTCCTGCCCTTCGTGTGTCTGCACGTAACGCTGAAAGAGCAAACCAAGAATCCCTCCTAAACAGCACATGCATGCTTCTGTCCTCCAGGTCTTTTCTCTCCCTTCCCCTCCACTGTGGCTTCCCTTCTCACCTTTCTTCACCTGACTAGTACCGTCAAGGCCTAGAGGAGCAGCTGCTTCTCCAGTGAGCCTCTCTGAACCCTCCACCTGGGTCGTAAACCCCTCTTTTCTGCTAGGACAGTGCTCTGTGTGGTTCCCTGTCTGGCCACCCGCCATTATTTATTGACAGTGTTTGTTTTTGCTCCCCTCACAAGGCTGCAAGCTCCTTAAAGGCAGGAAGTGCCTCTGCACCTACCCCCGGGACCCAGCAGAGTGGGCGGCAGAGAGTGGGTATTGTATTATAGCCCTGGAGGACTTTTTAAGAGGTTGAGCCTTAAATCTAGATAAGGAATTCTTGGGCCTAAAGTAACATCAGAATACCTTGACGTTACACGATGAATGCATAGTTTCTGATATTTCAAATCTTATGTTCAGAAACACCTCTAGTGTGATTTCTCATACCCAGTGACAGGATTCAGGGGACTTATGGTGGTTAGTGCTGGAATTATATGCTATCTCTCACCTTTTTATCTGTGGCTAAACCTAAATCAAATAAGATAGATGATAAGATATGTGTCCAAGGCCAGGGTAATGAAACTTCCTGTGATTTAACAGCAGTACTTACTAAACAATAGAGGCTCCATTGTGCTATTGTTATTTATGTACATCCCTTGTCCCTATAACAGTGTGTCCACCTAGAAGGCAAAGCTTAGATCTTGTTTATCCTTGAAACTGTTAGAGTCTCTATTATCGTGTCCCACACAGAGTCCGACCTCCATAAATGTGTATTGAATTGCATTGAGGTTGTTAAGTGGAAAGAAGCTACTTTGAGACACCACTTTTGTTTGTGCTAGTCATGGAAAAATATGCAGTCACCGTTTCTTTCTCTTTACAGTGAACTTGCTTGTCAAATGCCTCTTTAAAAAGCGAGAGAAGATAATTGCAAGTCAGCTGGAAGTGATGCCCAGACACAACCTACAGGAAGGCCCAGAAGACAAGTGATACCGTGCAGACTGCTACCATGCAATGTCTGACTGATGTAAAATGAAGAATCAATTTGAAATTAATATGAGTAAAAGCAACAAGCACTAACAGTCACAGCACGAGGCATTGTCACCGACCCTTCCCTTCCCATCCCCTTTGACCTGTTGGACTCCAGCTCGTGAAAGCTGTCATCCTCCAAGGACATCCCGAGTGCAGCGCAGCATCTCTATTAGCACAGTGTCTCTGTTACCCTTAGAATTCAACAATACCGATCTTCTCCAACATTTGTTCATTCATTTGGTCAAAAGTTAGCCATCAAATGCAAGGCACAAGTGCAAATTCAAGGACTTTATGGCCAATATTCTGCATGATATTGACCACAGATTGTCTGCAGGCACATAAACCTGCGGTGGTGATGCTAACCTGACAGACATGGCACACAAGTAAATTGGGGGGGAGTGACTGTGAGCCCAGAAGTTCTCATTTTTCCACATTCTGCAGGGTATCCTGTAGACCCCTTGAAAAGTAATTTTTTTAGAGAGTGTGAATGTTAATTTACTCTCACCCTCAAGTAAGGGATCTTTCTCCATTTATAAAAGAGAAACAGTGACTATTCTAGATAATAGAGCATAGCAAGAATTCTCAAACTAGTATTATTAATACAACTCTATTTCTATGTACCACAAAGATAACGTGTAAGCATGTGTCTCTGGAAGACTTGAGAGCTTTGCCTTTCTTTTCTTCCTTGTCTCTCTAAAGGCAAAAAGCATTGTTATCTTGCTGGAGTATAATCGAAAGAGAGCCCGATTTGGAACAAGGAGCCCTGAGTTTTCAACTGTCCTTTGTTACTTAAAAGCTAACATTAGGAAAATTGTTTAACTTCTTCATGCTTTAAAAAGGGCTTAAATAAAATAAAAATATAAAAAATTTCTCCTCACCTCAGTTTCTTATCTATAAAATGGGATTATAAAATGTATTTCCCAGGGTAGCTATGAGGATTAAATAAAATGAAAAAAAATACTTATATGGTTTTAAATCTTGCTTTGGTCTATTTGTCAGTAAAACTCATAAAGATATAATGTTCAGTTATCAGCATTGTTTTGTTGTTGCAAATTACTGATAACTGAACCAAAAAATGAAGTAAAATATCTGTGGAATTTCTGCAAAACTGTTAGTCCGTAATAAATCATCTACAGCTCTGCTTTCACACAGGCGAATCAGAGCTCAGACCAACAAGCCAAGGAACGCCCTGAGCCGCTGCAGCCCCCGTGGCACTCCGGGCGAGCCGCGCAGTGGCACCTGACACTAGCCAGCAGGTGCTCTGTGCCAGGCACTAGGCTGCGAACTCTACGTTCCTCCTCTCTTCTTAGCCTCTGCACAACCTCAACAAGCTTGAGTCCTCTGCACGGCACCACGGACCCCGTGGGGACTGCACGCGTGGCCCAGGCAGACTACTGGCAGCCTGCTCTCCAAAAGGAACGCTTGTTATTCCAAGTCTGAACCCTGAAGCATGCTAATTAATGAGCAATCTGTGTCCCTAGCTACTTCACTTCCTTTTTATTTTATACTCTCTTGATCTATTGGAACCTCAAAAATGGCCTCTCCATCATCTGCTTCTCTGTTGTATTGCTTCTTCCACAACTGGTGGGGTGCTCTGAACCCAGGCCGCCCAGAATCCTGGGGAGGTCTCTGAGACCAGGCCTTTGGTGTTTCCGTCCTCTGAGAGCCCTGGCACGTGGCAAAGAGCACCGTGGTTGCTGTCAAGCCTTCTTCTTCAGGAGCGTGAGAGATCCTGGCAGGCAGGAATGATCGCTCCTTTATCACTGCGTCTGCTGGGGTGTGCGGGAGGACGGCAGGGCTCCCTCCCTCGTGTTCTATTAGCACAGCGATTGTCAACCCTGGATGTACATTTAGAATTACCTGGGAAGTTTAAAAATATTTATTATATGGATATGGAAATAACCCAGGTGCCTGTCAATTCATGAGTAGATTATTAAAATTTCACATATGCATACAATGGAATATTAATTATAAGAAACGACAGTGATCTAGCACCGCTTATATTTTCCTGGATTGAGCTTGAGCCCATTGGCTGAAGGGAGGTATCACAAGATTGGAGGAATAGGCTCCACTTGTACTCACCGTCAAATTGGCACTGACTGATTAGCACTATGGCGCTCACATGGTAGTAATATTCTCCAGGGATTGGGGATTGGGGGTGTAAACTCACAACTAAAGGACACAGTGAGCATTGCTGAGGGGAAGGGCATGCCTCTAACCGTCGCTTTGGTAAGGCAAATGACATAAAATGTAACCAAAATGTTTGTACCCTCATAATACCCTAAAAATATATATACATATCTATCTCTAGGCCCATACTCAAATCCCAGTTTAATGGATTCAGACTCTCCAGGTGTACAGACTGAGTCCCAAGTGACCCCGATGTATAGGTAAGGCTGAGATCCACCATATTTGAGCATATATCCTGGCTCCTCTCTGTGCCCTTTGCTCATCTGACCGACTTCAGGAGGAAGGCTAGTCTCTGCAGGCCCTGCTAGCCTGCAGAGAGCCTGCCTGCTCTGCTCCTGGCCATGTCTTGGATGAGAAGTGTGTGCCTTGCCCTCTTGGGCAAGGCTTGTAATTCCTTGGTGCTATCTGTGTCTGGGCAGGTGGGCTTGTTTGATTCTGGAGTTCACTCTTAGGAAACCCATTATTACTGCAACCTAAGCCTCATTTTTTAAAAATAATAAATTTGACATTTATATGTCCATTAGTCTGACCCCACCTACCCTATCAATTGATTTAGAATTTAGGAAGGGGAGAGATTTATTGTCACTCTCAAACTCGACAGCATCCTTTTTCTTGCCTAGTGCCCAGGCTATAATAGGTGCTCAATAAATATTTGTTGAATGAATCAATTCCCTATGCACTTCTAGTAATATCCATCCTCTAAATTTCAGTCTCACTTTCTCTCTGTCTCTTTCTTCCTCCACAGGCTACAGATGGTATAAATGCTGCAGTCCTTGGGAAGACTGAAAAAGCAGTCAGACAGATGTGTTGTTCATAGCTCCCTAGTCAGGCATAACTAAACATTTACATTTATTACCAATTAGAGGGGAAACAGACTGTAGTTTTATGTACTATATGTGGCTGGATATATTTCTTTCTGGAATCTCACTAAAAATTTCAAAATGTACCATTGGATCTCACTCTCCTACCAGCTTGAACCTCATACTATTTAAATAGAGTTCTACCAATGACAGCACAAATCTATTTTCATTGTCCTACTGAAGCGCAGAATACCATGGGGGTGGAAAAATAGAGCCGCAGAAAGGCAGCTGACCCAGTGTGATGGGCTGAAGCTGCTCCGCCAGGACGCTGCAGCGCATGCAGAACTGACAGGTGAGGGCAGGCTTTGGTGAAGGCTGTGTGTGTGAAGTCATTGACGGCACAGGTGGGCAACAGCACTGTGAACACACAGAGCTTTGCTTTTAGGGCGGAATAGAATAAGTGAAAATAGTGCTGGCGACTTTAGAATCATTGGTTCCATAGAACACCAGACCCAATGCTAAAGAATTCACTGTGTTTAGCTGAGTCCACTTAATCTGGTATACATCTGACATATAAAACACTGACCCAATCTCATCAAAAAAGTCAAAGGAAAGCACTGGCTAAGGCATAGGTAACCTGAATCTTGGTCTCTGCTCTTGTTAACCCAGCTTCTTCACCTGCAGAATCAGAGACTTCTCTCAGGAACTTTGCTAAAGAAATGGTGAAACTTAATTAAAGATTTATATACTCTATAAGGATCTTATCATATGGCTATTTACAATAGAAGCAATTCCAAAACTACTTAAATGCTAACAGTAGGGTAGAGGCTGGTTAATATATTGTGGAAAAATAAGATGACTCACATAATCATTAAACAGTTGTGGTTTTATCACAATGAGGTACCACTTCACACTCAGTATAATGGATGTAATGGACAGCTATACTGAAAAACCAAGCAAACGGACAGAAGTTAACAAGTGCTGGTGAGGATGTGGAGCAATTGGAACCCTCTTGCATTGCTGGTGAGGATATAAAATGATACAACAGCTATAGAAAACAATTTGGCAGTTTTTCAAAAAGTTAAACATAGAATTACCATGTGATCCTGCAATTCCACTCTAGGTGGAATTAATGAATTAAAAACTGACACTCAAAAAAATACATGTATGCACATGTTCTTAGCAACCCTGTTCACAATAGCCAAAAGGTGGAAACAGCCCAACTGTCCATTAATGGATAAAGAGTGGTATAGACATACAATGGAATATTGCAGCCATAAAAAGAATGAAGAACCGATGCATGCTACAAGGTGGATGAATCTCAAAAACGTTACGCTAAGTGAAAGGAGTCAGACCCCAAAGATCAAAGATTGTATGGTTCTTTTTATATGAAATATCCAGAATAGGTAAATATGGAGACAGAACACAAATTGAAGGTTTCCAGGTGCTGGGGCGAGGGAAGAATGAGGAAAAACTGTTTAATGGGAATAGGATTTTACCCTGGAGTATAGAAATGTCTTAAAACCAGAGAGAGATGGTGGTTGCACAACATTGTGAATGTACTAAATGCCACTAAAATGTTTACTTTAAAATGGTTAGTTCTATGTTATGTGCATTTCATCTCAAATTATTTTAAAAATCATGTTTTTTTAAGGATATTTACTGATATGGGAAAATTCACACCATGCACCTATTGTTAAAAACTAGACTTAATATAATGTTAATTTTGTAAGATTAAAATGTTATGTGTGATTATGTGTGCAAATATATACACCACACATGCACACACATATATTATATACACATATCTATATTTGTATACATATTCATCATCCTCCCCCAAAAAACTGAAAAGAAATTCAGAACGCTGATATTTGAATTATAGGTCATTTCATTTTCATACTTATGCTCATTTAAAATGAGCATATGTTAATTTGATAATTTGAGAGAAAAGAATGTCATTGGGTCATAAGGGCATCACTAAGTTTCTTCCAGCTCTACAATTCTAGGGGTCTAAATGTGTCGCATTTTCAGGAATGCCTGTTAGATGCGGGCAAGAGCAGATAACCTCTAGGGTGGGCACCTAGGAAGGCAGGCAATATTGGAACACAGACACTTAGAATAAACCCAGTTGTTCAGGCAATCTGTATGCGTAACTTTAGTTCTCATCACATGGACCACAAGGGGCACGACAGGCAGAGCACACATACATGCCCATGATGTCGTTCCATGGCCCATTCTCTCTGATGGCCCCTTTAAGATTGTCTTCAGGGTAACTAACATTCATGGCTCTCATGCGGACTCTTTTCATACGTGCATTTCAAAGTAAAATAAATGCCCCTGTCCTGCACAGCCCCCGTAGCTGAATCGCGACTAGTTAAAATAAACTGAATTGCTTGCCTTTTTCTTTTCTTTTCTTTCTTTCTTTTTTTAAATAGCATTCTTCAGTTGATGTATTCTAATGGTTGGCTTCCTAAAATGATTATCACTTGTTTGGCTTGTGGGAACTAAAAATTTTTGCTATCTCATCCTCTTCCCATCACTCCATATCAAAGTGACTTTATTAAGAATACTGAAAGTTAAAAACTAGAGTTTGATTTAGTGTTTACACAGTCCAAGCATTTTTCTCAATAGTGACAGATTTTTAAAATGTTTAGTGTTTATAATTGTACACATTTATGGGGTATATGTGATATTTTGATACAATGATACAACCAATGGATAAAAGAAGATGTGATACATATTCACAGTGGAATATTCTTCAGTCATAGAAAAGGAACAAAATCCTGTCATTTGTAGCAATGTGGATGGAACCGGAGGTCATTATGTTAAATGATACAG